GAGCATATTTACTTGACAGAGAATTGTGCTATCTAGAGCAGTCTTTTCCACTTGAACAGTATGCTGTTATTTACAATAAGTTTGTTTTATCACATACGATGTCTGCTTCAGTGTCTTCAAACATGAAACATTCCCTTTAACAATAACGCAGCAATCGAAAACGCAAATGTAAAAACATACGATATCTCAGGCAAATCTACCGGAAGATCACGAGCGAAGGTCAATACACGCATATGACGATCGTAGGTTTAGTTTACGTTGCAACGAGTCGAATGAGTCGGACGTTGCAATACGTGGCAGCGAGTTGAAGCACTGCAGGCGAGTCAGCCCGTCCACTACAGTGACAATTGTGACGCGGCCAGTCTGGCAGTGGCTCTGATGTCATAAGCACTTCACTGACGTAATCAATCGATGACATATTGAGAAGTTTAGTTACTTAAAGTGAGATCGTGTTGTCTTCATCTATATTGTGCCAGTCGTTTGCGCTTTAATGCATACCAATAGTTTCAAGCGAGCTTTTTCCATCATATCTGATGCTTTCATCACCATTTTCAGACACGCAACATTGCATTTTTAGGGGACTACTGAGGCCTCCTGTCGTAGGGCGACGATGAAAACAACGCATCCCAAGGGCGAGGCTCAAGGGCCTTGATCTGCAGCCTGATTGCAATCTATTCGGATATGCATTCCATTAACGACATTTCGACACACATGGATTCAACAAAAGAACCTTGAGCTCATTAGCATTTGACTAGAGAATATTAGAATGAAGAAGACATTAGAATGAAGAGGAAGAGAAGAAGAAGATAGAAGAAATGAGCACTCGAATAATAAAGTCGGAAAATAAGTGCACGCTGTACTCTAAAGTGAACAAAGGAACTAAACGGACATTTTCGAAGTTGAAATAACGCGCGCAGGGTACGGAATTTACCAAGAGGCGCAGGACCGCTCCGGCTGTTGCTTGACCTCCGCCGCCGCCGCCGCAAAACAAGGACGCTCAGTCGAATGCAATGCCATCGTAGGGGCACCCCCTGACCGACGTCACGTGACTTCAGCGGCGCGAAGAGCACCGGGACTGTCGCCTTAGCTGTATGAGCGGCGGCATTTGGCAGTTGAAGTGGAACTGTCTCGATGCTATTTTAGGAGGACAAGAAAGAATAGGTACAGTCATCCAAAGAGTTATCGCGTACTTGGGCCAAGACCCGCCGGCCAAACAAAGAAGGGTTCGTTCAGGACCAGGCGCCGTATTCCAACGACGATCTGCGCAGCTTTGCTTCGTGGAAACTTGAAGAGTCACGTTCTTACAGGCGACGATGCGCAATCCTGTTCGACGATATAGATGTCGCTACTATCCATCATAGCCGCTGCCCGTGCCTTTTCAGCTTGTGCAGAAAAAGATGGGGTGTTTGCGCAGAGTACATTGATAAATGGGGACATCCCAGAGCAACGCTTTGTCCTTATCTTATTGTTGTGCAGGTGCAGTGTCGGTGGCGACGGATCCTGCGAGGAGGTGAAGCCGGGGGAATAGGGAAGGGGGTGGTACAAGTTCGATGACTGCCCCGTTCCTTTTCATGGAACATAACAAATAGAGTAAATGTTAATATTTTCCCAAATTTGATGAGCGGCCGCACCCAGTGACCTCCCCCTTTCCTCCACGGCTTCCGCCGTCGCTCCGTGTTCCCTCCACAACTTCACCGACGGCGGTGCTCACATTGGCAGGTGGATGTTCCCTGTTGCGTCCCTGCCATAGCACGTTTGTCTGTAGTCATAGCTCTTTTCAGTCACAAAATGTGCAAGATATTCGTTCTTGTGCGTCTTGGCATCCGATCCTATCTAACGAGAGGACACGCTAACTAGTGCCGTAAAGCACTTAGCTTCGGATCGTGGGAACATGGGTTAAGACATGGGGTGATTACCATACTTGCACTCAGGACATACATTACAGTCAGATTGTGTTCAATAAGATCAGAAATATTCTTGTATGCAGAAGACTGCATCACGTTGTGCAATACATATATATATATATATATATATATATATATATATATATATATATATTGGCGTGCGTGCACTTGTGCACGATAATTTCTGCCCGGCTCTAGTTTTCTTGTTACAGTTCTCTGTTCATCATTGAGACAAAAAAGCATCTCGCTGCTATGTAGTATCTTTTAGTTGGACTAACGTTTGGGAATATTCAAATATTGACAAATATTGACAAATATGACTTATTCCATCTTCAAAGATACACACACAAAACATGCAATCGACGAAAACATGATTCCGTGAAAATAGTTAGACATAATCCAAGGCCGTTTAAGTAAATTGATTAACAAAATACGCACTTAATTTATGATCCATCGGAAATTGCCAACACTTGGCAGCACAGGTAATAATAATAAAGCAGGAAATCCGTTGTGACTCGTCATCTCAGTGTCCAACGTCCACCTACCAATCGGCCGGGTAGCTCAACTGTCTCGTCTCCCCGTACGCTTCCATCGAACATAACCTAAAGCCAACGGACGAGTTTTCGGGCATTCTAAAGAGCACATAGCCCTCTGGCTTACCGGTATTGCTGAACGTTAAAAGCTGAGTCACGAGTGCTCCGCGAAAACCAACTGCTCAAAACAAAAAGTGCAATGGAACAAGCCACCGTTCTCCGGCTCACCTCCGAACCGAGCGGCACTAAACGCAGTCTGTTCTTAGACACGGACATCTTCGCTGATCATCGATTCTTTAGAATAGTGTACACAAAGCCAACGCAGGCTGGACGATTCCATGGTCCCATAAGCGAGTGCTCGGGACGGTAAAATATAAGTGAAGCTTGCTCCCTGCCTCCGAAGAGGCTTCCGACTTTGCTTTGACTGGACGCAGCTTCGCAGTAAACAGCAGAGCATCAAACAAATCTTTGTAGATAATGGCTTTTTCAACATCGCCATCCACCATGAGATCAACGCCTTTATGACGCAATAACCGGCATAAATGGTGGCGTCAAACATCAACAAAATTAAATTAAACCGCTTTATCAGAATCCAACGTTAACCCCACGCCCAAATATAACCCCTTGAAATGCACAAACGTTGTTTGCCAGTCCTACTCTGATGTAGCGGATTGCAGGCTCCTAAAGCAATCAAACTACGTTGGTGCCACAACCACCACACTCCCAGCGCGGGTGACGACGCACCTGGTTCACAGCACTCTAAAAGAACACAGGACGAACGAACACGCCGAATCATCACCCGAGACGACCTCATATGGATCATCAGTACCCTACCATCATCATTAAACAGGAGAGAGCGTCAGACTCTGGACGCCGTCACCATCAAGGTATCATCTCCGGAACTCAACAAACAACCGAAATTCTCACTTCATCTCATTTAGAAATGATCGTTACCATCAGTATGAATAGCGTGTCTTACTTTCCAGCACGTGTTTTGCAGGTTGAATTCTTATGTTCCCAAACATGTCAACCGAGGCGATGCATACATGCAAGGCAACTCAAAGCGGGATCATACACCTCAATCCAAGGCGTATGTAAATGTTAACCATCTGATTTAAACTATGATTTGACAATCCAGCGACGGTCACCAAGTCTTTTTGAAGTTGAATGGATTGCAAATTAATTTTCCTATACTTTACCGTTTTCGTGTAATGTTATCTTCGTCGCTTGAATGTTGTTTATGTGCTTCTTTGACTAAAATGCGGTGACTACGGAACATCAGATCAACTAATAGATGTCAACCTTCGACAACTTATTTTAAAGTCTCGGTGCGGAACAGAAACGGTGATTAGAAAACAAGAGCAAATGCAGAAAAAGCTCATTCAATGCACGTACAGCAAGGTCTTAGACAACGCTTGCATAGGTGATAACACACTGGCTAAACACAGCAATATATATGTATATATATATATATATATATATATATATATATATATATATATATATATATGTATATACATACATATAATATAGTTCTTCTTGCCGCTGCACACAAGGCGTCGCAAAAAAGGATACAAGTGGCTCATTGTTCAAACCGTTCGTGGAATTCACCGGGGATAGTGTGGATCTCATGGCATCGCTTGTGTATTTTACTTGCTGTCATCAGCACATGGACACATCAACATTCGTGACATTTTTACGCCGCGCTTCTTTATCTCGTAATGACAGGATCGGCACATCGACTGTATGAGCTCATCGGCTTTGTTGGATCAAGTGCAGAATGTCATTACCCAGGATCTATATTCGTGATCACGTATTATGCATCCACAGAAACATTTCACGAAACACAAACTGCAAGTACGGGGTAGGCAAGTACTGAGAGACTATCGAGTTCCTGCCTATAATTATTTTGCTACAGTGGGGTCACACCTTCGTACCAACGTTTAACACAATTACGGCACAGTGAGGAAATCACTTGTAAAAAAGCAAGGTGATGTGCGATTACAAAAGCCGTTCTAAGCCGCGCTACGGGCAACCACCACGACAATAAACATGAGTGACGGGTTATATAACCAGTCAACCGTCAACGAGAAATCAACGCCTTAGATGGATGTTAGTTAAGACATTGACATTAAATAATTAAGTCTATCATTTAACAACATAATACATTAATGCAAAACACAAATTATAAAAAACTTAACACCATGATGAATTAATGCTACGCAAACATTCTGAAAAATTATGAATTATGAAGCTTAATATCAAGCGTAAATCGATGCAAGTAGTGTTCCACTCAGAAGTCAGCGGCCAAACGTCAGCTATAGCTACAGCTACGTCAGGCCGGTTACAACGCACAGAGTTATTCAAAATATGTTTGCCCGTGTTTTACATTGCACACCTTTCGCGAGGACATCAACTAACAGCGTACTAGTCACGCTCCTATGTGCGCTTTCGGTACTTTTTATCTTTGCATCGCACGAATAATGTGACGAAAAACTTCCGGCGTATTCGAAGAGAGCCCACGCATACAGCCAAACAAACTCACCACTTTGCCCTCCCCCCCCCCCCCCCCTTTAAGACCGAATTTTTCGTATTTCACTACAGATGGCTCCCGACAGAAAGTTCAAAATCGGCGTCATGCCTACTTACGGAGCTCTGGGCCCTCCCTTCAGAAACTCCGCCCGTACAACTTGTATTCTCGGAGAAAACTTATTTCAGCGTCATCTGGCTGAGAGGCGAGATAAACAGAAGCCAAAATGTTCTGACGAAGCACATATTTTTGTTGTCGTTTTCAGACAGGGGGCTGTATTTGAAAACAGTGCTGACGTGGTTCCCACCAACACGAACTAGTTCTTTTCCCTCACCGTTGTCAAGAGCTGGCCGTCTAAGCGTGGTTGTTCAGGCTTCTACGGTCTGGAGATGGGCGGAAGTAAAAATACGCAATCGCTGGACCACAGGCAGCGCTTGGCTGACTGTTCACTGTTTAGGCCATGGTGGAGATCAGCAGAAGCGTGCTGTCGGGCTGGTTTTCGGGAGGTGTTCAGCCGTTTAAGAACTGCTCAAGGGTTTACTGTGGTGCTCCTCGTGTTGCCAGGAGGACGGCTATCATGAAAGGCGCCGTCTCCTGTCTGACTTCAGGCCGCAGCTGTGGAGCTGGAGCTGAGTGTGACCAGAAAGACGGAGATCAAGAACGCCACAGTTGGGAGACGGACGGTCGCACTGTTGCAAAAGTCGGGCATCGTGCAGCAGTACGTCTCGCCGCCGTTCTCCTCTGCAATGATGACGGACATGGTCAGGGGCGCCCGCGGGACGCGGTCGCGAACACGTGCGTCAGTTACGCCAGGACAGGCCTGATCAGCCCTTCGTAAAAAAACATGAACTTTATTTATTTATACTGCTTCACGCAAAAGCCTCCGGCCACCATGCATCTTCAATCGTTTTAACTGATTCATGACAGAGACATCGTTAAGTATGCTGTATTTTCGAGACGCTTCGTTCCGTGTTAAGATACTTATGCGACTTTCATAGAGGTTCTGGTAACCTTTCCACGGTGTCAACTTTACAACAACAAAAAAGAACGACTGAGACCATTTGTCGCTGGCTTACTCATGGCAGTATAAGTCAAGGCTCGAATCATCTAAGTCATGTATAGGCCTATAACATAGCTTGGTCATAGTGCAGAAGCAAATTCCTGATTGCAGTATCACATGATCATTATGTTTAGATCGAAGACGGACAATTGGACGGTAGATGTACCTATAGGCTAACTTGAGCCCTACCGGTTCCGACTTTTTGGGGTTCTTAACGCCCCACTTAGCGACAGACAGTGAACAAAGCTGCCAAAGAGACGCATGATTTTGCTCCACGTGTGGAATCGAGGAGAGATGTTCTCCATGCTCTGGCGCCATAAATTAGCAGCGCTCATTAGAGAAATTTACGGATTTGGTGAGTGACCATGTGATTCCCATGCGTAATCAGGTGAAATAGGTAACGGGTGGGTTGAGTGCAACTTTGGGGAAAAAGTGGGTATGGGTACGGGTATATTTAAGATGTATGGGAGAGTGACAGTACATATGCCCAAAATAATAAACATGTTCCTGCTTACGCCTCTTTTGTTCATAATAAGCTGCATTTCAAACTGCTTTTGGAAGCATTAATATAAAAAATACGTTTATGTATAACCCTTCCATAATCTATACCCAAAAGCGCTGGTGAAATGCCAACAGGTAGGTAACGGTTGGGTACGACTGATTTTGATCGGGTAATGGGTGAGAAACGACACAGCCTCCTGAGGGGCGGGTAGATCGGGTAAAAAAGCTCCTAGCCGTGAATAGATCTAGCATTCCCTAATGTACTTACCATCTCCTGCAAGCATGCCAGAAAAACAAGCCATTAAGGGGTGTTCGCGTGATCAAGTTGTGACACAGCTTTGACAATATCTAGAAGCATCACATGCACGAATTTAGAATAACACCATGTCGGAATTTGACTGTTGGGCGAGCCGTGGTATGTTATATAATACTGAGTGAACTGTCCAATAAGCCTGCAAATATTAGGTTAGTGGGTTTTCAACACGTAAAGTTATGACACAACGCGAGGCTGATCACTTGCATAGCAGGCATTATCAGTGGGTATGTAAGTGCATGCACTGGTTGCGCGTGTAAGGTGAAAACCTAGCATACGTGCGAACTCCTTCACGAGCGTGTGAATTCCTCCTGTTGCGGTTATCTGGCGCCGCAAGTGCTTAAGCTATACGTATATATATATATATATATATATATATATATATATATATATACATCACCCTCTCCCTCTCACTTCATTTCTTCCTCCCTTCCTTCCTCTCCTCCTGCCCCACTCTCCCTCTCTCCCTCTTTCTCTCTCTCCCAACTCCCCTCCCTCTCCAAAGTCAGATAATCACAGCAGCCTATGAGTTCGACAGCTGAGCGAGCTATGGACGGTGCTATACATGCATTTCTAGAACCATCATTTATCTATGGTACTGAGCATCTACATCAAAGCCCAGGATACAAGGGCCACTTTTTTACTTGTTCAGAATATTACATCTAATCACGATTCCTGGCATAAGTTAGCAAGCATACATACAAACACACACACGCACACACACACACACATATATATATATATATATATATATATATATATATATATACGTTTTTGGCCACCTCACGTCCCTTGGCCCCGTTTTGAGGTGTGTATTACAAATAGTAAACGACACAGCCATACTCACTGTAGGGTATGCAAAAGTCGGTGCACATTTTCACCATTTTCTTGCCATTGACATGTTTCTGAAATCAGGCGAAAGGTAGGAGGACAGAGGCGACGATATTCATCCTAAAATTGCGGTATCTTTTGCGGTCAACACGGGGTGATGCGTCATTTTGTCCAGACGAGTCCCTTATAATGCAAGATGTGCACTGTATATTTTTCTACAAAAATCATTTTTCCAAAAAAAACCTTTGCCTTACTCACGTCATGCCGCCCATCAAGTCGGGTTTAATACCCATTTTCTACCTGTTTTTACCTACTTTTGTATATCGATGCATTTCTGTGTTTATCTTTGGGCCCGACGTATCAGGCATTTACGCGATAAGACATGCTGGATAGGGACTCGAATCACGACGCCACAGCGCCACCTGATCAAAACAACCCATGCCATTAAGCTCATTATAAGAATCAGTGAATCAAACGGTTGGTGAAGCAACGCACACGGCCGTGCCGGCATGATGCCGGCATGCTGCATCCCTTGATGTCCAGTCATCGCGCCCGCTGGTGCCAGCAACGGCTGGCCGGCCTGCTGCTCGTACCAGGCACATGATGCTGGTGTGGTGGCACTCCTTGCGGTCGGCAGCCGACGTCTGCGTCTTGTTGCAGGCCTCGATGATGCCCTTCTCCTTCGAGAAGCGGCCGCATTCGTGGCATCTGATGGCCAGACCCCGCTCTGAGGAACACACACGGATATATTGAGAGTCAGTGCCTTCTATTTTGAGCGCATATGTATTGACTAAATTGAGAGTACCTTATGTACGCTGATGATGTGATAATTTATCACCGAATCGACGACGTAACAAATTCTCTCACACTTTAGGCAGATTTGGATCGCCTCTGTAAATTATACGAAAACTGGGAACTGAAATTGAACCCAGCTAAGTGCAATATCATCTCATTCACCCTCCGCACGTCACCTGTTCACTCCTCATACGCACCAGGCGGTCACCGCTTGGTTAGCTGCCAGCAGATTCGCGATTTTGACGTCTTCCTGAACACCAAACTCACCTTTGCCGATCGCACAGATTCAGCTGTCTCCAAAGCAAACAGGATGCCGGGCCTTCTCATGCAAAGTATGCAGATGTCGTCGTGCCCTCGTCAAGCGCGGTTCAATCACAAGGCCCTGCTTTTTGCCTTTGACGCTCATGTGAGATCATTGATAAGTGTACGGTAGCGTTATTTGGAGCGGTGGTGTCGTCTCCCGTCTCGCCCCGTTCAGACCACGACGCCGGTTTCTCATGTGGTTGGGTTCGAGTAGCCAGTCCCGATATCCTCCACTGGAAACAGCATCTATCTAGGCACGCTTTGCTCAGCCTGACATCTTATTTCTATTCAACCTATATCATCACGGGCTTGACTGGGCTCACCTGACATCACTATTCGGTCTGGCTACACCCGTCCGGTGTTCTCGGCATACTGGCCTTTTTCCACGAGCCATTTGCAAGTACCAACACTGTCGAAAATGGATTCGTCGCACGACTACCAGTTGTCTGCGATCATTTTTTGCAGCATTCTCCCTCAACTGACTTTTTCCATCCAACAGAATCATTCCGGTCTGATTTGTTTAGGTTCGCCGGCTCACGTGGAGCATTCTCTTGATGACCGTTGTGTCTGAATGTGTAAGGTGTATTTACGCCTGTGTGCAATGTGTATATGAGTGGTTGTTTGGTTAGGTTTTTTATCTGTGTGCGCATCGTATAATTATGTCTTAAAACTGGATTCTGTAATTGGGCTTTTGCTTGTGTAATGCCCATGTCCTAAATAAACAAATAGACGAACAATATATATATATATATATATATATATATATATATATAACTCGGGCTTCACCAGTAGCCGAAAACAGGATAAGCGGACATCGAAATTATTATATATTGTCCCCTACCCACCTGACCAGAAATGTGCAAATTTTTCGTCCTCAGTGTTCTTGCATGCCCAGTGTGTAGATATGACCACAGTTGTAAAACAGCAAGTGAACCGAGTGACAACACAACGCTATGGAAATGATAGCCATCACGTAAGCTAAAATGCTCAAAATGTTTGGAAGCTGCAGATGCATTTTTAGCTTTCATGCATCGAATAATTCGGTTTGGGTGCCTTGCTTGATTCTTGATATAATTGTATGGGTCAACAGACCAATAGTCTTCATCCTTTTGATCTGACGTGTCACATTACAGGTCATTACTACATTATTACATTAAATTACATTATCTCGATGTCTACTGGGGCCCATCCGATAGAAGCTTTTTCAGACTTATTCAACGTAATTGTCCGCATCGTTATAGTGTCCGCAGTCCTTGCAGTAACAAGAGAGTGGACCTGATTGGTCAGTCAAAAGTAACATTCGCCATTGTTTTGTCATTGGTCACACCTATCTGATATAGTTCACGAGAGCTTTTCAGTACCATCGTCCCGTAACTCTAGTATGCTTGGCTTTCGAAATCTGCCGCAGCTGGGTAGGCTCAGGGGGCTGATGAGACCCCTTTGCAGAGCAACGGTGAAAAAGCGCCTACTGGACCGGAGCTTCTGTCTAAAACCCACTTATAACATATCAACAAATGAGCATTCAACCTCAGAACCTTCATCTAATTAGCACTAGACTAAAAAGCATTTTGGCGACTTAAAATTAGGTAAATATAAATTAAGGTTCATTTTGACTTCGCATCTTAACTTATTGGCACGGTGCGGAAAAGAACAAACCTCATTCGGTTCATTGCATTCGGAAAAAGCATCCGTATAAAAATGTCTCGGATATTGGTCTGAATGCTTTATAAAACATGGATTTAATTTCGTAACAAATCTGAAATGCACGGAGACTGGGATAAAAGGGAGCGAGACCCAATGTTTGTCGTCGGGTCTATGTAAATAGCAGGTTTGGTTTGCTGCGGAAGCGTTCTTGCTTCGTCAGCGTCATGGGTAGCGGAACGTATGATCGGTAGTGGGGAAACGGGGACTGGGTTACCGATGAAGGACGTAGGTCAAACCCGTACTCAGGAGCTGTTCAGTTTAACCTCTCAAACCATTGCGGTCCTTATGACCCAACGTTTTGGGTTTAGGCTTAGGTTTGGGTTTACGGGGAAGGAAATACAAGGGGTCCTTCTCGGCTATCACAGTTGTTAGAGCAGCGGACTCACAACTAAGAAGACCCTAGTTCGAATGCCAGCAATTCCAAAGAGGGAATTGGGGTTGTGACGCATGCGTGAGTGATAGCCCAGCACCATCCAGTCCCTCTTAGGACTTCACGACGCCTGACGACGGCCGGAGAGTCAGCTGGCCGAAACGCTGTGTAACTAACACACCAGATGAGGACGATAGTCCAAACAATTACTCCAACCGTGATACTAATACGTCGCCTCAGCCCCTCCATAAAACTGTTCACGAGACCTTACAAAAGAAAAATTCTGCTTTCAAATATAATTATGCTATGGCCATAACCCAACATGGGTAGAGGACAATGTGTCGTTGGTATAAAAGTCCCTGCAAGGCCGCTGAATTACTAGTGTACACGTACTATATTTAGGTTGCCGGGAGGAAAGCGTCTGAAGTTACGTTTCATGGACAAAACCAGAATAATACGTCTATAGATACAATTATTTCCCCAAGATATCTAAAATTTCCCTCACTTCGAGAATTCATTTCGAAGTAGCGAGAGTCAAGTTACCCTGCTACATCCACCCCGAGGAAGCCACCGCGTGGATGGCTCGCCGTGCCAAACGTTACTAATTCTCACACATGCATTCAGGGAATACATTTCGATCAATCATCGTCATCCATGCATTTTTTCATACGCTATCTCCGCTAGCCGAAGGTTCTGCGGGCTTTAAGCTAAACGCTTAAATTAACGCTTATTACTTTAAAACGCTTAAATCGCTTAAATTGCTCCTAATGGTGTCCTGCTGTGAGTGATGCTTTTTTATTCTAGAATCAGCGAGAAACCATACCCATTGGCTTCGATGCATGAAGTTAAAGTTTATGAAGCCACTAGTCAAGCCTTGTTTCAATGTAGATTAAGGTCGGTGTGAACTATTCTTATCGCATATTATACACACCTAGTGTTTTACGCGAAAAGTTAATATATTTGATATTTAAAAAATCGTTTCCCCTTTCACTGGTAGCTCCGAAAGCCAGTGGATTTGTTGGGGAACCCGAAACACACGACTGGTATCCTTCACTTTGGGGGGAGGGATTTGGGGCCATGACCAGAATGACACCTGATCTGCTAGTGTCCGGCTACGATGGAACACAAAGAGAAAAAGACCATGTGAACCATTGAAAAAATGATCATCAATGTGTCAATAATTCGCGATTTCCAGATTTCCGGTGGCTGAGTCAAGTGGAGCACGCAAATTCTGAAAATCGCACTTCAATAATGAAGGGGTTTCAGCATGGCTGGATTTGGACCGGTGGTTTGGTTCAAAGGTGATCGATACTTAGTTTTCTTTGAATTATCTACTGCAGTCCTTGTTCGCCTTTAACAGCAAACGTATCTCACTTTATCTGGCAGAGGTTTTTGCCCCTCCCCTCTAAAAATCAATCGGGCATTTCTGGACGCTTGCCGCGGGGGGCATTCATAGTCTTGACCAGTGTCCTACGCAATGTGAGGCAATTCACGCCTTTTTATTGCAAACAAGACTGGAAGGGGGGATATGAAAACATCACCTAAGCAACGGCGCGCTTGGGTCAGGGGCGGATCCAGGATTTCGTCAAGGGGGGGGGGGGGGGCACGCAACATTGTGGGGCCCCTTGGAGTCGGGGGCGCCCTCCAAAAAATATCCTTGCATTTCGGTCATTGCATTGTTAGACAAGTCGTGTGTAATATATATATATATATATATATATGTATATATATATATATATATATATATATATATATATATATATATATATATATATATATATAGGTGTGTGTGTGTGTGTGAGTATGTATTGGTATATATATATATATATATATATATATATATATATATATATATATATATATATATATATATAGGTGTGTGTGTGTGTGTGAGTATGTATTGGTATATATATATATATATATATATATATATATATAGGTGTGTGTGTGTGTGAGTATGTATTGGTGTATATATATATATATATATATATATATATATATATATATATATATGTGTGTGTATGTATATATGTACGTAGAGTGTATATATATTCTTAGTCAGTTATTTGATAAATACGGAAACCCACCTTACTGTGCACAGTCCCATAAAGCTAAGCGTGCTACGCATGCATACATGTGGAGAGCACTTATTTTCTACAGATAATTTTGTAATGCTTTGATTTTGAGGCCAAGTGTCTCGGAACAACAGGCAAAATAAACTTGAGTTGGCTGCTAACAACCATCAAACGAAGCATGGACTTGATTCCTAATGCAGAACTGTTCCTTCGTTATAAAGGAGTGCAACGTATCGTAGCATTCAAAATATGTTAAGAACGTAATGCACTAGTGTAATAAGTGTCACACAATAGCCGATGGAAATGACATACGACGTCGGCGGCATGTAAAATTACGTTCGGCAATTGCGCGTAAAAATTCATCGGCGCATATTCGACTGCTAGTCTTAGACCAAGGCACTAAGGCCAATAGGGACGGAACCTGAGCGATGCTGGGTGCCGCGGAGGCCAACAAAGTGGCTCCCGTCAACAAGTATAAGG